TGTGGTGAGAACTTTTAAGATCTACTCTCTTAACAACTTTCAAGTATACAGTACCTATTAATTATTGTTAACTATAGCCACCATGCTGTACATTAGATCCCCAAAACAGTTTTATCTTATAACTGGCAGTATGTACTCTGACCGCCTTCACCCATGTTCTCCACCCACGTCTGGCAACCACCAATCTACTCTCTGTTTCTGCGTTGTTTCTGTGAGTTAGATTCCGCGAAACTCTTCCATGACTCCCCATTCATTTCCTTCAGAATAAAAGCCAAAGTTCCTAATATGGCCTACAAGGTCCTATATAATTTGCACCCGTTACCTCTTTAACATCTCTTCCTATTACTCCCCACTTTGACCACTCCATTCTGGCCACACTGACCATTCTGTTGTTCCCGATACCAGGCATAGTCCCATCTGAGGCCTTGGCACTGGCTGTTTCCTGTCTAGAGTGTTATTCTCCTAGACAGCCACACAGCTAACGTCCTCACCTTCTCCAGTCCACTCAAGTATCCCCTACCTTGACAGCCGTATTTAAAACTGCAACCTGCACTTATTCCTGTGCCCCCACCCCAGTACCCCCATCTTCCCTTACCCTGTTTTATTTCTCCCTTGTAGCCTTCATTACCTTCTAACATGCTATTTAATTTCTTATTTTTATTTAATAATTAGTGTCTGTCCTTTAGAATGAAAGCTAAGAAAGTAGGGGTTTCTGTCTGTTTTGTTCACGGATATGTCCCAAGTGCTCAGAACAGTACCTGGAAATAGTCAGTACTCAGTAAACATTTACTGAATGAAATATTTGTATAATGATGGATTAGCTGGGACCAGGTCAAGAGAAACTTTTAATGCCAACTTTAAAATATTTGACCACAATTATGTTAAAGTCATTCACTGTTATGATCTATTGTAGGTACCATTGTAGAGTATGAATCCCAGAAATTCAGGGCCCAAGAGATACTCTGAATGGTCAGATTATAGGTCACAGAATGGGCTGCCTTTCTATGGGGTAGAAATTCTAGGGAAAATATACATGTTTGAAAGCAGTACTTTTCCATAGTGCTATGCCCTAGGTACTAGGGATTAGCGTCGGGTCAGCCTAGCCTCACATAACAGTGGTAACTCAGGCTTAGATTTGGGGGGATGAAATCAAGATGTCCTCCCAATCTACAGTGATATGAGACTATTTTGTTCAGAGCAACCAAGCCTGCCACATAGGCCCGCCCAGCTTACTATGAAGCTATGCACTGAGGTTTTAGTCCAAAGCTCCACCTAATCAAAGCAATACTTCCTTCCATTTGTCATTGGTCATTCTGTACATGTATCTTCCACAGGAACCAAGCAAACAAAGTGAGGGGTGGAGTGGTTGTGGGTTGGGACTGATCTAGGGCAGGATTCATGTATTACAATGTGTGCTGGGTTAAACACTATTTTAATATTGGGGTAATATACCCCAATTGTCACCCAATTTCTGTGAAAACCAGGAAAAAATTTTAATGCTCCTAAAACAAAGTAGTCTGGTTAGAGATTGCCAACAGGGTCTAACCAAAGGTTGTGACAAAAGAAATAGAAAGAAGGCAACACCTAACAGCCCTTAAGGAGGTGAGTGGAGAGAATAAAACTATTGACTAGATATGGAAATAAAAGAAATGAAAAAGGTAAAGATGAAAAACAGGCTCCAATCTGAGGAGAGCCTCTTTGGAAGACATATTGTTTATCAGCATATAGAAAATGTATATGAAGAAACAGGAGGAAATAAGAAGTATGTCAGTAATAATTCTATGAAATTTTTTCAGTTTAAAATACAAAGTTTATACAAAGAAGTAAAACTGTAAAAGATCATTCTGAAAAAAATATGATTTATGAAATAATATGCAACTATATAACATTTGTGTAGTTTGGTTTTGCACTTAGGTAATTATAGGTAAGTAATAATATTATTTATATATTATAAACACATAATAAATAATAAATAAAGCACTTGAAACGTTTTTACTTACAATGATACCAAGAGAATGGACTTTTCATGTACTTGGAAAGAAAATAAAAAGAATGNTAATTTTATTTATACATAGCAAAAACTCACAAAACCTTTTAGCGCTGTTAACATTTTCACGTTTGGGGATATAGCTAGTTGACTTTTTTCTGACTTCTTCCACTTTTGGAATCCCACATGATTATTATATTAAAGTAAACCAAGAAGAACAAGAAGCTTAAGCAGGATACAAAACACACCAGAACAGAAAATAAGTCCGGTAATTTCTGAGGAGGATCCAGTGTGACCATTGCCAGTGTCAGAAGGACCATAATAATTATCGAGATAAAAAACTGTAAGGAGGAAAAACAAGTATTATTAAGTAACATAAATTGTAAATGTACTGGTAACATTGATTTATAGCTGTAAATGAGGAGAACTGAAGGTGAGGGTTGCAGGTACAATTTCTTCTATTGGGGGATCTCAAGGTAGGCTGCAAGTTAGAATTGCCTGGGAGGTCCTAAATATGCCTGTGCCGCAGCCAAGAGCGATTACATCAGAGTTTCTGGGTAGGCCTCAGTGTTCAAGTTCTCCAAGTGATTCCCATGCATAGCAAAAGCCTGAGAACCCCCATCTTACACTTCATACCACCAAGGCACTGAAGGAAGTTATCTGGAACAGATAATATTGCTCATCGGGGTTAAGTCCACAGAATTCTTCAGGACCCTGAGTCCATCTATGGAAAATTTATCCGTGACAAATGGGAAATCATATTTATGTTCACTGTACACTTTCATGAGCTAGTGCTGTAGTAAAGCATGGTGGGGCATATGAAAGAAAATGTCCTCTGGCCTCAAAGAATTTTCAATTTAATTAGAGGAATGCATAAACTAGTTAAATAAAATCACAGGGTCACATTTTATTAAATGTCAAAATGAAGTAAAAGTAATTATTGCATTTATTGTAACTGTAGCAGTCAATTTCAGTGCACTGTACAACAGAACTTTCTGCAGTGATGGAAATATGTACTCCAGACGAGTAGGTGCTGACCACCTGTGGCTACTGAGCATTTGAAATGTGCCTGCTGCAAGTGAGGAGCTACTTTTTATTGTATTTAATTTTACTACGTTTAAATTTCCACGTGTCTAATGGACAGTTCAGCTCTAGACTGTGAACTTCGTTAAGACAAGGACCAGCCAGATCTTATTTATTTTATCCTTAGCATAGCACATAAGTACCCAGAAGCTGCTAAAGTGAATGTACAAAGCATGCAGTAAGAACGTCAGTGACCTTCATGAAGGAGGTGGGACATAACTGGAACCCTAAAACGTGCTGTAATGGCTATATTATGACAGGATTGGTAAGACCTGAATAGCGATAATGCAGTGATCACTCCAGATGGAAGAGTGGGAAGAGCCAAAAAAGGCTTATAAACAGGTATAAACAGGCTGCAGGTCTCCAAAGGGAAAATCCCTGAGTCAACCTTAGTGGGGAGGGAAAATTTCTGAAGTGAAATCAAATTAAACTTAAGAAATATGGGACTGGTTGAAATATCATGACACTATGATCTTGAATCAGTGTTAAAAGACATGGTAAAATCCTTCCCATTTTAACAAATTCTTCCAGGTATTAGCCTGTTGTCTGCTCCTGTTTCACAGCCAAGTTCCCCAGAAGAGTTGCCTATAACTTGTTGCAGCCAATCCTCCTCACATTCATTAGTGAACACACGCTAATTAGGCTTTCACCCCAGTCATGCCAATGAAACTGCCGTGGTCAAAGATCCACAATAACCTCCACTGTATTCCACTGTTCAATTCTTATGGCTTTATTTGATCTCTTTGCAGCATTTGAAATAGCACAACACTCCCATCTCCTTGAAACACCATACTCATGATTTCTTCCCACCTCACTAGTTAATCCTTCTCAGACAACTTTGCTGGTTCCTTCTCATGTCCCCACCTCTATGCACTGCAGTATCCCAGGGCTCATTACTTAGTCTTCCTAATCTATACTCATCTTTGGTGAGCTCATTCAGTGACATGACTTTATTATCTACATGTCAATAACTCAGATTGCTGTCTCCAGTCTAGACCATTCTCCTAAACTCCAGATGCATATATCCAAGTGCTCCTTAATAGCTCCACTTGGATACCTAATAAGCATCTCAAACTAAAAATACACTTATAAACTATCTTCAACAAGATTAACAGCTGACTACTCATCAAAAAACATGGGGGCCACAAGGCAGTGGAATGGATGTCATTTAAATTGCTAAACGACAATAATTCCATTTCTAGCAAAAATAACCAAAAAATGAAGGTGAAATTAACATAAAACAAAGTCAATACACTTGAAAATACTTAAATAATACAAAGTATGTTCTCCAATTACATCAAAATTAAACTTGAATATATATATCAAAATGTATGGAATGGCATGGAGGAATTTATAGGTTTGAATGCCTATATAAAAATGGAAGAGGG